AATTGATAGCACTCCTTGAATCTATGCAAGTCACAGTCAGAGCTGAGATGATATCAGAGTGATACAGCATCGCTTACTTTTTCCAGGTCACTTCTTAAGTCATTGAGATCTACGCCAGATGGTGTACATCCCAAGAGGATGGATCCGGTTTTTCGCACTGAAAAGCGTCAGCACCACCTAACACTCCATAGACGGAGAAGAACACACGGAGCGGAACAGAGGATAGTATGATTATGAGAGCGATAAATAAACTTGCTCCCGGATCAGCGTAATATCGTCCTTCAAATTCCGTCAACCAGATTACCAACGCAGCAATCATAACGCCGAGATTGTTCACTGCATCTCCGATAACATGGAGCAGAACTCCTAGCATTCCAAGATCACGGCGATTGGATTCTGTTCTCTTCGGTGGAAGTTCTATATCGTCCTGAGTCGAAGATTCAGCTGAGCTTATACGTAAACCCGCAACTGTGGCAATGAGTGCACACCTTGTGTATCCCTGCCCCTTCCTCGGCTTTTATGGACGAGTCTATCGAAGCATTCAACGCTTGTTGATGAACATGGGAACAGTCCTCTAATGGCTTGACATTAGTAACGAGACTGCGCATCCAGGAAGGCAAGCTTGCCATGAAGAAAAAGAGCACTGAGGATATTGAGACCCAAGCCCACGGACCCAACAATGAGCATGAGTCTGGGATTCTCGATTTCTGTGGAATATCAGTGAGTTGCCTGCGCATTGAAGGAGGGCACAAACTATGCAATGATATAAATCTCTCCACCGACTGCAATAGAATGCTTATTCCCAGCGCAAAGAGAAGTGCTCCGTTAAAGAAAGCTCCCAATAGTGGTGCTCGCTGCCACCCGAAGGCCAGAGTCTTCGGTTCATTATCGATCTCAGAAAGCTTTGGTTTTATGTGTCAGTACTTCTATACTCTAGGTTCCTCAAGACATTATCCTACCTTCAAGGCCAACAAGGCGACAACGAACCCAATCAGGTCGGTCAACTAGACCATTCAGCAGATGTCACCTGGAAGATAAAGCAAAGCGTACATAGTGAAAGGCATCTGCCACCAGAGCTAGCGAATGAGTATACAAGCCAACTGCTGGTGTCAGCTTCGAATTCCAGGATTCCTTAATCTGGACAGATGACAAATACTGGAGATTTCAGTCAAGAAGAAACATGATGATATCCCGATCACCATGATCAAGCGCTGTGAGCGCGACATGCTCAGGGCCATCTTGGAAAGCATTTCTCCAACGCTACTCAGACCAAAGTATTGAAGAACGGAGTCGTTGTTAATAAGGGGAAGGCTAAAGAGACGGCGAAATCTTCTCCCTTCATTCTTTGCTCCTGCGCCCTGTGTAACTTCTCATGCCTCGGATATCTGCAGAATGCAGAGCGTGTCGCCATTAATGACATTGTGGCCTCGTTATAGTGTGCAACGTTATCTAGCCTGGATTCGAAACAGGACTGGTATGCGAATCTACTCCTTCCATTGCAGGGGGGGCATGCAGCTTTGCTAGTTCTTGTTCACTTGTTACTACTGAGTATCGTCCAGTCAACAGCAGGACATTGGCTTGTCACTATACAAGTCTAAATCAATTGCAATGATCATAACCATTATCGCCTTATATTGTACAAAAGAACTTAAAACGGCCTTAATTACCAAGCCGTCTAACTCTTTCTGTCAGTTCCCGTGTCTGGAATACTGCCAAATGTATCTGTCCGCGAAACGGGGTCGTCCACACAACTCTAGAGTCTTGGGGGAGAGCTTCTGGGCTACGAAAGAGTGCATAGTAGATGAGATGGAGACGATTTCTGAAGCCACTATTGCTTGATAGGGTATAAAATACATACATGCAAAATCGGTTAATGCTCGCATAAGTTAAACTCCCCCATTTCGAAGTCCCGGTTCTGTTCCTGCAACTTGTTGGAGCGCTCCTCCATCAATTCCTTGCGGTACTGCTTTGCCTCCTCCAGGGTTATGGGCGTAGCTTTGAGACCCTCGTTAACCATATTCTGCAACTCAGCTGGGAGTCTCTCTCTCAGCAACTTCCCGACAATCTCCTGCCGTTCCTTCCACCAGTCCTCCTGCTGAGGAGGTACATTCGCCGAAGAAATAATCGAGAGATGAGGGTCTACGAGGAAGAAAGCGAGAATCTTGCGATGACCCGGCTTGGTCCGATCTGCCAGTGCAAACGGCGACACTTGGTGTTGGAGGCTGTTTGGGAAGGTGAGTAAGCGTCCCTGACGAGTGTCCACGCTGCCCAGCACCTGGGTGACATTGCCCTCGTTCCAGGCCGCCTCAGGATCCAAGCGAAAGATCTCCTGGAGGAATTCGTGTCGCGATTGCTCATAGGAGATATAGGAGACGGCGTCTGTATCCGCTCGTTGCCGGAACGCGAGTCTGCTGTCGGTGATGTTCTCGCTGTCGTAGTAGTAAATGGCCGAAGCGCAGATGTGCTCATTCTACGTGGGTTAGCGTGTACTCCTGCCATCCCGACGAAGAAACATACCAGTTGACCCTCGACGTGCCACGATCCGCCGTCGTACTCTGGCTTCTCCGGCGTCAGCTCGATGTTGGCCAGCTTGACGATCACCTGTAATCCGTTCTGGGCAAAAAGCTCGCGCAGGTTGACCTGGCCCTCGGCCTCGATTACACGGGGAGCGAACTCACCCGGTTCCGGGCGTCGAATGGGTTGTCGTTTTTGCCATTCGTCATATCGTTTATAATATCCGTCACTATACTCGTCTTCCTCGTTTGCCGGCTGGGGCTCCGGCTCGGGATGCTCGTCATATTCGACGTCATCGTAGGGGATCCGCTTGTAATTATCCCGCACGAGCGTCAAGGTCGTGTTCCACAGCGGGATGGTTTGAGTCAGGATCTTCTCAATGACTTGGTACAGCGGCCGGTGCTTCTTCGGGTGCAGGTTATTGATATACGACGCAATGCGACATTCGCCATTGTCAGCGAACTGTACGTCACAGGGGAGCCACTGGAATTTGCGGCTGTAGGGTTGATGGCCGCTTCGCCAGTTGCGGTCGACAGTAGCGTCCTCCTCCGGAGGAACTGCAAGTACTTTGCCCTCCCCGACATTATTCAAAAAATCCTCGAGCCCGATCAGTTTCCTATGGAGAACACGGGTCCGGCCGAAGATGACCGGGAACAGCGATGGATGGACCAGGTCAACCACCTTGTCGTCCGATCCCGGATGGTAGTCTTTGAGCTCTTCAGGCACATCCTCCAGGGGCCGAGCGGCATCTCTCAGCATCTGTCGCAAGTCTTCTGCAATAGCAGTATCGGATTTGACCACGCCAGCATCGAATGCCACGACGTGCTTGGTGTCCCTGAAGACCTCAGCTTTCCACCGCGCCTCTTTGATGATCCAGTTCATCATGTTGGGAGTGATATCTTCTCCGCTGTCCATGATTTCCTTGCGCCATTTGGCAGTGATTTCTTCATCAAAGACCTAAATGTAATGTCAGCGATGCGCATTCAGGGAAGAAAGCAAACGCACCTTTTTCTCCCAGTCCGGCTTGTCAGTGATGGAATTGAGCGCTCGCATCATCAAGATCTCCCGATGAGTATTTACGCGTCTGCATCCTTAGCTTCAGAGTAGTCAATTGTATCAGCAAACAACTTACTCAGCGAAACTGCTGCTCTCCAGTGCATTGGGGAACAGGTCAKGATCCTCCGGGGTCGAGTTCAGGATTACTCCATAACCCGGTATGTCGAAGCGCGTGTTTCCAGAGTCCATAGTCATTGAGCGCAATTGTATCCGAGGAAGTGATCTGAGATGCCTAAATACCGAGAGGACTCTGTTCATACTATGTGTGATGATATTTATATGGAGAGTATCAGAGATCTCGCCGCGTTGTGGGTTTAGGCAACCGGCTGCTGCCTTAAAATTCAGGCGGGGCGATAGGCAAATACGAGGATGCCCCTCAAGAGTTACCAGTTAAGACACAAGTAGTGGTCAACTGGCGGATGCTCTGTGAAGTTTAAACGTGCTGAAGGTACTGACGATGAGTGCATGGGCTGCTTGCTCAGGGGTTTGCTCATGTCTCTGTCGCACTAGTGTTTGCTCCGCGCACAAGAGCTACCTCGTATAAGGAGGTCCAAGTACCTTCCCCCCAGCGATTGAATCTCGAGGAGCGAAGCACCATTGAACTTCTCATCGACAATGCCAAGCCGTTGATTTGGATCAGGATGTTGACTTCATAGTCAGTAGTCGTGCTCATCGTCCTGCTCAGATCTGCAATCGTACTCGTTCCATTTGCACACATATGCTTCACATTCTTCGGCGAATTCGAGGATCGCAAATACCAAAGCTAAGCTTTGCTCTCCACAATCCCATTTAAAAACCTCAATCTAACCATCCTAATCCAGGCCTGCTCCAGGGTGATGCATCCTTGTGCGACAACACCTCTATATACTTTCTTTCCATGGACGGAGTACACTATCTCCCTCACCTTGGGCTCAGCACAACTGGCTAACCTACTTCCAAAACAACTTTCGATGGGGGACAGCCATACTCCGTACAATTGAGCGAATCCCAATCGCTGAAAGCCCGCTTATGTGCGTGCGTGACTGATTCGACCGTGGTCACTTGTGACAGGATGTTCCTCAGCCTGCAATTGATGTTTTCAACCCTGGACAGTGAAGTACCAGTGGTATTCTACGGGTATTCCGTGCTCTAGACGTAAGGTACCTCTCTACTTCTCGCAGGTAAGAAATGTACCTCTCTGTACGGTATCTTAGATTTGATGACGTCATGGCTTATCGTTTGGTTTCTCTGATCGTATCAGTAGAGAGGTACGGAGTATGGGTTGGTAGACTAGATGACTAGGTGAAGTGGTAACGCAATTGTATATATGGGTAGTTCTATATGTAGAAATGAGATATACACTGCACCAGCATTCCATCAGACGGGCTGGTCATGGGCGCGAAACGATGCAAAAGTATAGAACAAAGCCACAAGTCTAGTATGAACTGAATCTACATGTTGTCCTCGCTCCAGCGGCTCCTCGCCTTCATCCACGCGTCGTGCTCGCTCTTCCCTTCCTGGACGGTCTTGCCTACTCCCAAGCCGCGCTCGACCCAGTCCTTACTGCCCATCTCGGATAACCGGGATAGGGCACGAGCGAACGCGAATCGTTCCTCGTCACCGCTGAAGATGGAGGTCGATTTGAGGGCTTGCACTGACAATCCCAAGTCATCCATCATCATGCGCATCGCGTCTGAGAGATCGGAGTGGTCCCCGTTTTCTTCTAGGGATGTTCTGACTTCTTGCTCGGACATGAAGAGGTTCGTGAGTGGAACGGCTGTGGTGAGGACTAATTTGGCCTGTTGAGAGAGATTTTAGCCTCCGCCTCGCTTGGGCAAAACAAAATACCGGTTACTCACCCTGCTCTCGTAGACGGCGTCAATAAAAGTGATGAATCGACGAGCCAGATCCCGTTGCTGCAATGTCATCCCCGGAACGTCCGTCACGATGAAAGCCTCGTAGTTCCGCACCAGCTCCAAGTAGTCCGCCGCTCCCGTTGCGCTTCCGATGAGCTCCTGGAAAGTGAAACGGGCCGCCTTTCCACTGGCCGACGGAACCTTGATCTTACGGCCCCAAACCTCTTGTGTCTCTGGGTGAGGAGGATCATTGGGATCGCCCAGGAACTCGTACCACTTCTGCGCGTGGCGATCAGCTTCAGGACCGAGCGGGTGGTGGTACACCGCCGCTGGTGGACGAGGAATTTTGCGGTAATCGGTCGGCGAATTCAGGTTGATCACGGTCAAAGCAGTCTTGAGAAGATTGATACACGGAATGAAGGATTCTCGCTGGATACCGTTCTTGTACAGATCATCGGGATGACGGTTCGAGGTTGTCACGAGCACGACACCGTGCGACATGAGAGATTCGAGCAGCCTAGGAAAAGCGTCAGCTGAGCCCTTGCCTCCCAATACTCCAGATACATACCTCCGCAAAATCATCGCATCAGCAACGTCCGTACACTGAAACTCATCGAAACACAACACGCTGGACAACTCCGCGATATCCGCCGCCACCAAAGGCAGAGCGTCAAAGTCATTACCGTACTGCATCTTTACCACGTGCATGCGCTTATGTACATCCTGCATGAAGTTGTGGAAATGGATGCGCGACTTGGACTTGATGTTGGCTGGCAAGGTCTCGTAAAACAGATCCATGAGCATCGTCTTCCCGCACCCCACATCACCATACATATACAATCCCTTGGGTAAACTGTCTGGGATTTTCGACTCCGCCTTCGCGCTCTTGCGCCCAAACAGCGAGCCGAAGAAGGACGACTTCGGTTTCGGATCCAGCGACTCAACGCTCGGGTGCACAACGGCCGGGGGAGTATAACCTTTCAACACGTCGTGCAGGTCCTGCAGCTTTTGGACAATCTCTTGACTCCGTCAGCTCATCGTTGCCCCTGGAAAGGCCGGTACAGGCCGGTACGGAAGACACCCACCCCTCTGATACTGATCATCCCGCAAGCGCCCCTGTTGCACCCGCCCCTCATACTCCTGCAACGGCCCGCCAGACACCCCAGCCCTCGCATCCTCCGTCTGTCCCGCAATACTCTCAGCCTGAGGCTGAGTCACAGCTGCCGTAGCAAAGCGCCGCATATACGCTCCGGTCCTCGGCTGCGCATTCCTGGCATTCAACCAAACATCCTGCGCCCCCGCCGTCTGACGACGTGCTGCGCCATTGCTGCTATGCACACTCCACCTACACTCCCCGATCAGTACCCGTCCACGTCCGGATCTCCTCGCCGTCAACCCTGGGGCCCGGCTCCTCAGCGCTGAGGGAAGGGACTCGGCGCAGAGTTTCGCAGATGGCCGACTCATTTGTTACTTAGATAAGTCGAGGTAACGGATGCTGAGCGGAAAATATCGTAATCGCTTCGTGTAAAAGTATGCGGTCGGTAGGCTTGGAGCACTGGGGGCTTGATTCTTCCGATCGGGTATACTTCTATGGCCGAAGAATCGACAAATGATGGGTCGAGTGCGGCGGACAAGCGGGGAAAAGGAAAACGAGTTGTCAGTGTCAACAAAGCGAGTACGCCTTATGTCTTTCGTAGAAAGGCATCAGTATACTTGCTAGAATAATTTTCAAGTTCTCGGAAGACTGAATGTAAGAAGAGAATGGGAGCCTGTGCGCCAGATGCGCGTATGTCAATTGGCAAGAAGGCAATCGAATTCCATCACCGTTGCGTTGGCCTGAGGCGAAAAAGAACCGCGGGATTACCGACAACGAAACCACGTGACTCGGGACCCGGCAAATTGGGACGGAGTTGCTATCGGCGCAGTACAACATACCAGGTAGGAATACGTACAGAGTAGGAATGTTGTGATATGTTATGCTGGAGTATCTGATAATGCGGAGGAAAAGACATATCACTATACGACTGCATGCAGGTGGAGAAGCCTACATAGAGGTGTATATATGCAAAGAAAACATATGTACATGTGATGGACAAAACGTCAAGAGGGTATGGAAACATCACAACAAGTCATATGCCCACTGGACAGAATCCAATGCAAAAAAACACAGAGAAAAGGATATATCAACCAGGAGAAGTACATAACGGCATAAACATCAAACATGTCGGACATCTCGTTCTGGCATTTTTCAACCACATCAAACAGTCAGAAAGCGCTCAAAAGGCTCTTTTTTTTCCAAAATAAACATTGAACAATAAACAAGACCAGAACACCGTACACCGTCTCCACCAGTCGATCGCAGTTGTGGCGGGGTAAAGATGAGACAAAGACAGACGCAGGGGACAACGATCTATCGCAAACCCAGCATGATTCTATGCATGCTTTCAAGAAGAGAAGAAGAAGTGGCGTGGGCTTTTCTTATGCAAGCCCGACGTATAGGGTGAGCTTGGAATTCCGCTGAATGGCGGTGTCAAGGTCACTGTCGTTGTTCAGGTCCATGTACGCGCCGGATGGTTCGTCCTTATATTGCACCACGATTTCCTCATTGACCTTGAGACGATCTAAGAGCTTCTCCCGGAGCTGCTGGTAACTGATGTCGCTAGGGACACGAATGGCAATCAAGTCGTCCTGGAAGAATACCTTGACTTTCATGGCGCCCCCGCTTGAGGCTGTCGACACTTGGGTGAGAGAGCTGGCCTGTCGGTTCATCGCCGCTGGTCTGTCAGCCGGATGCGAGATGGATGGCTGACTGCGCTGGTGCGAAGTTCGGTCGGGGTGCGAGCTCATCTGAGCCTGAGATGACTGGCGGGAGGCGCTGCGCGATGCCTCCTGCGTGGAGGAATGGTGTGAGCCACCGGAGTACCGAGCATCTTCTCCAAACGCGCTCGGGTCAATTTCAAAGTCACCTGGGCGAGGTGCGAAAAGCTGACGGACCAGTTGGCAGCGGGAGATATGAGGAGGCATGGCCAGGAGCTTCTTTATGTATTCGTCCAGGTTCTGGCGGCGGCCGTTGGAGATCGCGTCGGTGACATGCGTCACAGGTCCGGGCATAAACGGCAATGTGCGCGGCTTGCCTCGATTTCCGGCCTCCTCCTCGAATTGGGTCAGAAGCGCAATCTGAAAATCATAGAAGTCATGATAATAACGGGACAACTCCCAGCAGCGGCCGTCCTCCATCTTGGCCTCAATAATATACCAATACTTGTCGTTATCGAAGCAGTACCGGGGAATGGATGCGGCTACCGGAGCGACCAGAGGCTGATGGTGATTCTGCATCGGCGGCTGCGACAGGTGTTGAGGTAGGGACGCTTTGCTCGCGTTCCGATTATGATAGCCCTGTACAAGAAACCAGTATGAGCATAGACATCGCCAAAGGAAGAGAGCAAGAAGGGAGACTTACGTAGGCAGTCCCATTTTGGCTTGCGTGGCCGGCGCTGTTGCGCCCCATGGACATCTTCTCAACTCCAGAGGTCACGGACTGCATTGTTGCTGCGGCCGAGTCAATCTTGCCGAGGGTGATGCTGCTGTTCTTGTATTCTGCCGTCATTTTCTTCCATTCTTCGACCCTTGGTACACCGGCCCGCTTGACTGCCTCTAAAGGATCGGTTACCGCTTGACCGGTTTGCATGTCCCGAAGTTCGATGAAGGAGACGGGGATCAACCCGGGACCACCCAGACGACCGATAGGTTTTGCGACGAACCACTCCGGGTTGGATTGGGCGATGACAATAATCGCTTCCCCTGCTTTCGCGTCGAGTTCATCCGGTCGCTCTGCCTGAAAGTCATACTGGACGATACCATAGACCATGGCGCTCGAGCCCTTTCCTAACGTCGACATCCTGGGGTGCTGAAGTTGCGTGGGAGTATGGTCGGGGGATGGAAACCGAGCGGGACCACGATCTGAGAAACCCGAGTCGTGCGACTCTTTCTTCTTATGAAGATCGACCGACCCGCCACTATCTCTTTCGTTCTTGCCGATGACCTCAAAAAAGGAGACAGGTACCAACCCCCTGGCACTAGGGATGAGAGGATTGCACGCTTCGTACCAGTCCAAGTCGTCCTCCCTGCTGATAACGTGGAAGAAGTCGCCCTTGCTGAACGCTAATTCTTGCGTGTTCCCGGGTTCTGGTTGGTAGTCGTAGAGAGCTTTGATCACCTAGGCGTGAAAAAGGGACGCGCGGTCAATACCAACTTCCAAGAATCGACAATGCGACTGGAATGAGGGGGAGTAATTTGAAAGGGGGAGGGGATGGAAAGCGATAGTCTAGCTATACTCTTTCAACGTTGGAGGGAAAGGGGGCCGCGGCGGTTCATTTTGTGTTTGGGGGCTAGGATAAGGCTTACCTTCTTGGGGGGCAGAATCGCAATGGCTGACTTGGGAGTGATTGAAAGATGGTGGTGGTGATGAGGTTTGGGGTCCTTTTCCCCTTTGAGAGATCGCCTGATGGCCTATATATTTTGAACAGTATGTTATTATTTTGGCATAGCAATAAAGGAGGGGAAGTGGACTAAAAAAAAAAAAAGGTTCAGGTAAATAATGGCGACGATATTCCAAGTACAGAAATAGGAAAATCAACACTAAAATCGGAAGCGGAAGGAAAGAGACCACAAGCGACAACCATAATCGAGATAAACGAGAGGCGGGGTATGTATGATTATGGTGGAAGGGGGCAAGCCAGCAGCTTGAAACGAAGGGGGCGCGCAGGGTTCACTAGGTAGTATCAAAGAGCTTTAGAATCAAAACATACCTTCATTCTTTCTTTTTCAGGAAGAACGAACTATTAGAATCGTACTGGTAGCACTGTACTCGGCTGGAGAGGTTGGATCAACGACAGCCGTCGTGTAGGTTGTGAGACTCAAGGGGACTGCGAAAGAGCGAGGTGGCTTCGAGAGGCACGGCAGAAAGAAGCAATATAACGACCCCGGAATCAAATAGAAAAAGAGTGTAACAAAGAAGGACAACGAAATAATCAGATCCTTGAATTCATACAAAGAAGAAAATGAGTGTGAGAGACCAAAGTTGATGTCTCTGTCTGTGTGCGGAATTGTGTGAATAAGGAGAGTGTGCACGTTGTAGTCAAAGAAATGATAAAGTAATGGAGATCTCCGTTCAAATAAAAATAGTGATGATAACGCTGGTAAAGAGTGTGGAGAGTAGTCTAGCCGTCGGAGTGGTAATAGTAGTAATAGGTCCTTATCGTGGATCTCTTGAGCTTTCTCTCTTTTCGCTTCACCCTCGTGCTCGATTACTACCGTGGATACGTGATGTCTGGTTGTTCTGGATTGCGAAAAGAAAGTGGCCCGCTTTGGTGGTGGTTCTGGGATTTCCCTTCTCGCCCCTGAAGGGGGAAAAGGAAGACTTTCTGGTTTGGGCTGGCTGGGAACCCTGTCGGTTTTCAGAAATCCACTGCAGGCAGGTTGACGATGGTATTATCGATCAATCAGCTGAGAGCAAAGAAGCTGGCTACTATGCGAACTTCTTAATGACGATAGACACGGGCCGTCGCCTAGTAGTAATTTTGGTAGTACTTTTCACACCAGCTGAAAGCCTTATGGCTCATGCGGGAGTATAAAGTACTTCCTTTTGCCTGGAGTAGAGGACTAGGTCGCTGATCGCTGATCTCGGGGGGCTGTGTTCTACTCTTTTGTAGGCACTCCGCATATAAAGACGACCGTGAAGGCCAGAATTTTCGACATTTCGAGGTTTCAAGCCTTGACAAGGTTTCAAGAAGTACTCTTATCCAGAACTATGATGCAAATGTGGCGGGATTCCTCCAGCCGCTTCTCAAAATTCAGCTAGAGAGGCAGAAGCATATAGGCATAGATAGTCCCATAGCTATATGGTGGCGATGATTATAGGCACAACAGGAGAATATCACCAACGACCTGATAACGACTAAATCAATTATCTCGAAAGAAGACATGATTCTAAAGCTGTACGGTAGTAGTGATGATGGGTACTTACCTTGCCTAGAAATCCTTGTGGAGATGATGATGGTACAGTCCACTTTTTAGCAGCGGCTTCCTTTATTTCTCTCGTTTTTAAGCCGAAGTCTAAAAATCCAATACCTAAGAATGCGCTTCAAAGGTCCTCAATTCAAATATTCCACAGTTTACAGTTATTCTGGAATGCCTTGACCATGGCTGATACCCAACAAGTGGACCGTTGTGCCATCTCTTGGGTACCTTACAGCGACTAATCTGGTAAGGCACCAAGGCAGGTCACAGTATATCCAGTGCGTCGGAAGATGGTCCCCAGTCCCGACCCAGCTATGACCAGGGTTTCTTAAGGCCAGTAGAGTAGTTAATACTCCGTGCGTACACACGATCCTTGCGACTATCAGGCAACATTACAAGATCTTCTACAACAAGTCCGACAGAATCTGCTAGAATCCAGCAAGTAATGCGCTAATTAGCTGCTAGTTTCCTTTCTGTCGAGGACTTAGCACCGTTCGTCGAATCATAGGACAATGAGACAGATTCAGCCAAGACTTTTTGAACGTACGTATTCCACCCGTCGCATTGTGGGATGGCAGCCACATGGGTCTCGGTCGCCACCATGAACTAGACTCTTCGTTCTTGGTAGCTGTGGGAGCGCTATTATTGGTGAGGATTCACGGAATCTGGCCCACCACACCTGTCTTTCAATCTAATTGGCCAGGTCTCTACTGTCAAATCCTAAGGCAGGAATGATTATTGAATCCTACAATCTCAATTTCTAGATAGATTCATGAGCTATCGAGCGCTTGAGCATATCCAGATATCCTAAACAGTCCAAGACTTGAATATTGGATCCCGTTCCGAGCAAGCCAGGACTACCTAAACCGTACGACCCGCAAGGCACCCCAAACGGGCTGCGACATCTCCCCGATAACACCGTCTCCAGCAGTCCCATGGCCCAGCATCCACTGTCCCAGACTCCAATTTCTCGACCTTCTCCGCTTGATCCCAGAATTGAGGCTATAGTCAGGAACCTGGTGCGAGATTCCTCAATCCCTTGAGAGTAACATGAGCAATCAATGCATATCTTCGTCCCTCGGACCGTGGTTTATACAGCGGCCTGTCAATGATCCGTCGGATCGGTCACTATACCCTGCTGTAGTTACACATATTGTTAACCGGATAGCTTCAAGTTGGGACAGACCTGTGAGATAATATCAAGTTCCTCCGAAGTCGGCGGTCACAATCCTAGCTCACCGGTGCTACCAGACTTTGAGTCCTGTAGATCGAGGATCGGATTCTAAATCAGACAGGGGGCAATGACACAGCTGCTGCATCTCGATGCAGGTACCCTTGCGTACTTGAATAGCATTCCAGCCAATCGGGGCCACACTACGAGAGCAATTGTTTTGACACCGCCGATGACTGCGTCAGGCAGTCCGTCGATCCTGCAGATTCGGAGCACTTAAATCATAGCGGTGTGATCCACGCAATGAGACTCCTTCTCAATGAGTGGCTTGTTCTGGTCATGGCTTCCTGTGCCCAATGATCTCAATCTACTCTATCTGCAGGCTGGTCTTATCCGAAAACTGGCCAGTGTCTCATCGAAGGATTGCAAAAAATATCAACCACTGGTGCTGAGAGTACTTTTGATATTGCTAAGGATCACTAAATTACGAATACTAAGGAGTTAAATGCTAACCCGTTTCCACCACCCATCCGTGACGACGCCAAACTCAGAGAAAATAACGCTACCATGCTTCCAGGCTTAAGGGACGTGATCTCAAAAGCCAAGATATATGCAAGACGCCGTCAAGGGCTGAGGAGCATAGAGAAGACCGAAGCGGACGTGAACAAGGAAACATCGGAGGCAGCTGGTCCCAGTTGACCATGCCGTTCAATGAAAAATGTGGAAAAAAAACCAGACGAAATAGGTGCAAGGGTATTGAGAGCACTGAGAGACGAGAAACTCGTATATGCCGATAATCAGTGGGGTGTAGACGCTGGCTGTAGTAACGAAAAAATGGTATCAAATCTGTCCTTTTATATCAACGACTCTGTGGGCTTCAGACTTGGCCGCGTCAAAGAGTTGCGCAGCCCTGCCGCTCGTGAGCAGCCTCACGGAGCCATCTTTCTCTTGGAGTAAATCCTCAGAGGCGTGGTCCAGGATAAAGCGTGCACTCTGTTCATCGGACTCAAAGCCAAGTTCCTCAGTGATAAATCGTATCTTTACGTCGGGTTTGTAACTGTTGTCATCAAGTCAGCCCGCAAAGAACAGCACACAACGCGCAGAAGAACACTTACGCTTTACAGATGGCCGCAAGGGCGGAAAGTCGCTCGCGGTCCACAAACATGTCCATCAGATAAGCCCCCATATTAGGGGTGTCGAGGTAGAGCTGGAAGAAACGATGATAGTTTCCCAGGGCAAGGGCTGAGCGAACATCCAAAGCATGTTTGACAGCAGGATCACGCTTGTCTGCTGCTGTTAGATCGGCCAACGCATCGTTCATAGCCGTCCAATTGCGAGTGTGGATGAAATAAAGAATACGATACGCCTTGAATTCTGTAGGATGCCCACCGAGATTTTGGGCATATAACGCTCGCAGCTGTGTCTGACATTGATTATACTCACCAAGATCTCCCTTCTCAAGCGCAATGCGGGCATGAATTTCATAGACACTGACAGTGAACTCGTTTCTGATGTGCTGGACAGTCAGATCTTGTCGCAGAGACTTGAACTGGTCGCAAATATATCCATAATTATTATCTTTCTTCCATTTCTTTTTCAAAAGATCGAGGGTCTTGTGCAAAACATGCAGCGGTCGAACGGTATCCGGGTTTGGCGCTGAAGTCAAGCGGAAGTAGTTCTTCTCTAGCTCCTGGCACCGTCCAACAACAGGGCCCTGATTTGCACTGGGCGCTGGTGATTCCCCACGGGATGAGGATGGTGAAGAGCCATATCTGGCCCGTGGTTCTTCGAAACGTTTCCTCCGCAATTCCAAATTAGCTTTTGACTTACTGGGGTTCTTATGATCAACACGCTGGCGCTTGTCTGCTGAAGGATAAGTAATTCGATCTCCAAATGCATGATGATTGTTAGTCTGCCTCCATGGTGGACAGCTGTCTTTGTCCCCGTACTCAGCCGATTTTCTTTTCCTAGAAACGTCCTCGGTCACGGTGTCCGGTTTCTGAGTAGCAGTTAAAAGAGAAGCACTCCAACCAGAGACATCAGGGTTGGTAAGGATCTGGTTGCGCTCGTTTTGAATCATGACTTGCGGTAGGGGCAATGCATTCCAGTTGATCTCCTCCAGCTGATTCTTCTCTGCCGCCTCAGTAATGACAGTCTTCAGTTTCACCTCCATCTCCTGTCGGTTGACTCCAGGAAGTTGGTTCTCAGGCGCGAAGCTTCGTTGTACATATGATCGAAGGGGGGCTGGCCATTCTACTCGTTTGCGAGGTGGTTGAGTTGTCGTTGGCTGTGGCTGAGGTGCCATGGTGGTGGTAGAGGTATGAGCAAAGCTACGGCGTGCTTGAACAGGGATATATGCAGGGGTTGCTAAATCACAGTTAGAAACTGAATAGGGAAACATATTGGAGTAAGAAGACACATACCATGTGCAGGAAAGTGAGGGGCTGTGGCAGTAGCGGACGCGGTTGCACGCCAGGGTGGGATACCGGAACTCATGATGGCAGAATCTTGTACAAAAGCATAAACAGAAAGAAAGAAAAGTAGGAAATATTGTTAAAGGAGAAAAATATATCAGAATCGATAAGAGAAGAAGAAAAGGATTAGACTACGCGTTGCCTGGGTCCC